GGTCGTTGTCATTGCTATGGGAAGTTTACTTTGCATTTGTGATGGTAGCGAAGAAGAAGGGGAAAGTCGGGGAGGCCGGTGGGCTCAAGTTGCCGACGGTTATGCAGGGTAAAAAACAAATGATTGATTGAAGTGGAATTTTTGTGGCGAAAATCTTCGCGGTGCGGTTGTAGGGATATCTTTACTGCTGTTATTGTATTAAACTGATATGTTTTGTATCTTTCGGGAGATGCGGTAGTGCAATTGGTTGTTGAGTTTAGTGGCGAACTGAAGTGTGAGGCGATCTTCTTTTTTCGGGGTAGAATGTAGACTTTTGGTAACATGAAATTGGGGTGATCCTAGGAATATACGGCGCGTGTCAATTCGATATGCCAATGTGTGTAATTTCCGTACGATAATGAGAATCAAAATGAAACTACATCGCTACGTCTCTGAGCATGTGATGAAAGTACCCGTTAGGGACTATGATAACGACAACTTGTTCACTATAATTTGCCCTCCAAATTAACACACATTTGCATATCAAATCGGCGGGCACTGTATGATGGTTCACACTGATAACTCTATAGTATGCTCTTAGACGATTTTTGACTGAGAATTTTGGCTGTGGCCCGTCCGTTTGAATGCTATTTTCAAAACAAGAGGTTGCTCATGTCGCTTGATGTGGATCGAAAATATATTTTATCAGTGACCATTGTATTCTGACGGAATAGTTTTGTAGTTGTGCATGCGTGCAGATAATGAATAGTCTCTTCCTCTCGGCAACAGCACTCAAACAACAGCCGATGTCGCCGACTGCGAGTTGTAGTGAGGGGGTACATGATGGTGTAAGTTCGGGAAGGACCATACGCATTTATTTCATTGACAACACATTTCGAGAAATTCGTCATATGTCGGCTAATACGACGGTTTCGGAGCTCCTTTATAAGTTGCAACAGAAGGACTCAACCGTGCGTAAGATGAATCTTTATTTTGTATCGAGTGGTCGGCATTCGGTGGTCGAACGGAAATTGGAAGAATCGGAAAAACCGTTGGAGATCGTCAGTGAAAGCGGCAGACCAGATAAGTTGGTGGCTCATCTTCCGGGTGAAAAAATTAAATCGAAGCCTCGTCGATTAGAAGATGAAGAGGAGGTGGCTGGGGATGTCCTCAGAAAGGGCAGTCTGGATAAGCTGTCTTCTAACGGCAAAAAATGGAAATCCCGAGAATTTACTTTACGTCCGTCTACGTTGTCGTATCGTAGTGGAGAGAAACCCTCGAGGGTCTTGGAGTTGGTAAATTGTGAGAAAGTTGTCTCGGGAGATGGGCGGAGCGATGCAGGAGAGTCGAAGAGAATTTTTAGAGTTGTGATGGACACGCGAACGTTGACCTTGCGAGCGGCTACGACATCTGATAGAGATGTTTGGCTTTTGTCTGTTGCGAAAAGTGCGGCGATTTTGAAGGAAAATCGAATTCTGGAGCAGGCCTCGGTGGCAATGAGAGAAAACACAAAAAGGAGATTTGACTCGGAAATAAAAGGTTTATTTGCACTTACGCAAAATTTGGATTCTCTGCTGAGCTTTTCTTGTGAAGCTCGAGATGTGTTTCTGAGTCATACTACAGATCTTATCGAGAGCGATAATGGTCGGGAGAATGACATCGATTACGAGGGCGTGCGCGATTACGTATTGGGATATGAAGATCCGGATGTACGGCGGAATATGAGCCAAGAGAAGTATGTGAAGGTCGATGATTGGTTGAGGAGAACGGCGTTCCCTCTTATAGTGAATCGAACGGCTTTTCTTACGAGGTTGGCTCAAATATACGCTGGGAAACCGCGTCGGTCGGAGAGTTATTCGCAATATCTTGACTAGTGGCACTGTATAGTATACGAAAGAGGTTAACATCTGTATCATTCATGTATGAATATTTTCCAACTGGCTGGGTGGTTGTGTTCTTTTCTGACGGAGTATCTCGTTGGATTCACAACATAGAATATCCATTCATAGAATGCGTATATACCGAATACATCGGCCATACCACACCTCCGTCTCATCGTAGCTCCCATTCTCCTCCATTTTCGGGCCATCTAAGAGCGTCGGATAAGTTCTACAATGCTAGTGTTGACGACTACTCGCAATGAAGGTCTTCAGCGATTCTGAGTGGAACGACATAGGTCTTTTGCAAAGATTGAACCAGTGCTGATGGAAGTATCAGTGCTATTTATTCCTTTCCTATTTCGTCTTCGTGAAAATTCGTCCGTTTGGCAACTCTGATGCTGTTGAAGTGAGTGGAGGAGAAATTCCCGACCGACCATTTCGCTATTCGATCTGAATTGAACGTTTCTTATCGTGGTGACATAACCCAACAGGAGGTGGACAGTAGAACGGCACAGAAACTCATGGCGTCAATAATACAATCAAACGCGAGCCTTGGTCGGTCTCTGCCGTAATTCGACGATCTTCTGGTCAATCCAATCAATACCCTCCGAGACCTCCTCGTCGCTGAACACACGCTTCGGTTGATACCGTCCATTGGAACTCATAAGCCATTTCTTGAGGGCGACCATGGCCGACAGAGACTTTGTGTTGCCGAGTGAACACATATACCGGAAGGACGAGAATACGTTGTCAATTCGACCAGAGGCGTTCCCGATGACTCTAGAGGGGTCCTCAACCAACGCGGGTGGATCGCAGTGATTACCACCACCCTGAGCATCGTAGTGATAAGCAACACCATCCAAGGTCCATAGTGTGACACTTCGACCTAGTCGACTCAGAGCTGAGTGGGTCAGAGGATCCACGCGGGTATTGCTGGCGATCTCAAGGGGTTGATGATGATGTGAGTGAACTCTACAGATGGCGTGTATGACAGGGTCGTTGGCAGCGACTATCGCCCTGAGCTCAGGACGGACCAACTTGTCACCAAAACATTCACGTAGTTGAGGGATGGTAAGCTCGGTGGAGCCGGCTGGCATGGCCGTAAAGACTGTCCCTTCAGTGGAGGCTATTCGAACCAGATGCCGATCAGTCCACGGGACGTTATAGGCGGGGTTGAACATGGTGTCGATCAGAAGACCTCGAGCAGTCCCGATGGGGAAGTGCTTCATCGCTAGATCGAACGACTCGGGTTCAATCCTCACCAGGGGGTATTTTCTCACAAGCTGATCACAGATGATCATAGTCCAGCTGGTCTCCCTTACAAGTGCTCTCAACCCCACTCTTATACTCACTTGAGTCAACCCTCCCGATTGTGTCCGATCCAAAGCCTCGAAGCATCGCCGTACCTTCTCGACCTCACCCGCCTTCCCATACAACTTCGCGGCCATAGTCAGCGCTCGGGAGTCCGCGAGATCAATGGAAGATTCGAAGAGAGCGATCGCTTGTTGTTGGCAACCCTTTAGCATCAACTGCTTCATTGTAACGACCAGTGGAGGCCTCGCTTGTGCATGCGTGCTAGCCGAATCTCGTACCATCTCTTTCTCAACGTTCCTCGAAATGTACCGCCTGGCAGTGACCACAATCGACGACAGTAGCCTCCGAGGGTGAGCGGAAGAGGAAACCCGTATCAAAACGTAATGGGAGGCAAATAAAACAACCTTAACCTTCCTATCACCACTTTGAACACAACACCAACAACTGTTATAATAAAAAGGAGTCCTCATCGATCATCATATTAGTCCCAACCCTCCAGGGTGTAGGTGTACGAAATTGTCAACAATAAAATGCCCGACCACTATCCCAGTATAATGGTGTCGTCATCAATAAATTCATATCTGAAAATCATCATCATCATCTCACATTCTCTCAAGAGCTCCCCTACGTTGGTATCTCCATGTTCAGTGGAGCCGGGCCAAGCCTAATCCTCCCAGAATGATCATAATGGCTACCATGACAAGGGCAGAAGTATCCACCATAGAGGCCTTGGTCGGGATAAGGGACACAGCCGAGATGGGTACACACTCCGAGCATGACCAACCACTCCGGCTTCTTTACACGGTCCTTATCGCGTTCGGGGTCTCTCAAACTGTTAACGATTGCATCATCAGCAGTTGCGGCATCGATCATAGCTTGAGTACCTGCGAATGGCCAAATTCGGACCTAATCCGTATCTTACGTAGTTGAAGCTAAGATACCATCCTTACGTCTCCTCACAAACACCGGTTTGCCTCTCCATTTCACCACGAAGTTCTGTCCGGGCTGAATACCTCTCAAGTCCACCTCGATAACCCCCGCGGCTATCGCATCACGAGCTGGCCACAAACCGTGGACCACCTTCACGACTGTGCCTGCAGACGAACAAACTATCATCAATCAAGTCCAGTGCTGTACACAGAGGCTGGGGACCAGGTTCACTGGCTTCCCGGGAAGAGCCATGTGGCTACTCCTAGAGTCACTGGTCAGCCCAGGGCCCCAGAATAACAGAAAATCCAGGCACAGATGAAGTTCCACCCTAGTGATTTGAAAAACACTAGTGAAAAACACATTTTAGAATTCAGTGTTATCGGTCGCGGAAACATATACGTTTGATAAATCACATGGAGTATTACACCACTCCACGTTAAACTCCAATGAAAAAGTTACCTCTCAAAAATGCCAAACCAATGAGACCAAACATCCCCGTGGCGAAGTAGTGGAAGGGCCGGCGATCAGCGTGCCAGGTTGGCAGACGGGTGTGGCGGAAATCAAGATGGCCCTCAGGGACGCAGGTGTCGGGGCAAGGGATGTTCTCAGCATACCCAACCGGACGGAAATTATCCGGGTTGAATCTGAGGAGGAACGGAAATGTATACTTCACAATGGTAAGGAGGGTGATCACCTTGCAATAGATTGGATAGCAGGTTCGCCTTCACGCTTCCATACGTCGGTACGGGTCACATTGGCACCTAGATGTTGGAAAATGTTTGGTCACCTCAGGTAACCTTATAGGAATTCACACACGAATTCAGATTTGAATGTACAAAAACCAACAATAATTTCCCGAAGTTTACATTTTGTCACTAATACACGTAGTTGACCATGTGCATATTTTCACACACTGATAAAACGCGGTGTTGGAGTATATGTTTGGTCTCCTCAGCTGAGCTCGGGAGTTTTCACACGAATTCAGATGGGAATGTGCAGAAAACCACAAGAACTTCAACCTCCCAGAATTTTCATATTGTCACCAACACATGGAGCTCACCTGCGGCTAACTCCCCCTTGGCGACGTCGGGCTTCCTCGGGAAGACGGGTTCACGAAGGTGCTCATAATGACAATAGACATACCTGTAGGATGAGGTCATATTCAAGGGTGGTGATAGGGACCGTACTCTCCCCAGCCACGCATGATGTGGGGATCCCCACGGGTCTTCATCAGCTTACGAGTATCATCAACCTGAGAATGGTAAGATACGGAGTAGGTCGGCAAGAGGACTGAACTCACCGGAGGGTACTTCTCGGTTTTCTCAGGATCCGGGTGTTGGGAAATGTGGTCCACTTGATCGAATCTGAGGAGGAGTATCTTTAGGTTGAGACGATAAGATACAAATTAGGTCACCTGTTGTACCACATGGGCTTCTCACTGGAGGGTTCAGTCCTCCAAGAGTCGATCATCTTAACTGTAGTAGGGCGATGAAGATGCAAGGAGGAAGTGTGAAGGAGACGACCCCTCTGGGCCACAGGGCAACGACCAGAGAGCAACATACAGGGACGGCTCAAAAATGGTATAATACTGCCTGTGAAATACACAGCAGGTCGCAGCGGGGGGAAATGACTCGAAAGATTCAAAGTAAGGTCCCGGGTTCGAATCTTGCACATGGCGTTTCAGGGCGCGCGCTAACTCAACAGCGCATAATCATTACTACCACTCCTACCTACTTTGATGAACAAGACTAACCCCTCGAAGACTCTCCGTACAGCCGCCCAGTGTGGCGACCCGGCAGAGGTTCTTGCAGCCCTACGCCTAGTCTCACTAAGGGATGAGCTCGAGAGTCGACCTGAGGCTTTCGGAAGGGCTGTTGGGACGGTCGGCTGGACAGTACATCGTTAGTGATGATGATGTTATCTGTCAGATTCTGAGCCGAAGTCGACTCACTGGGCGTCCCTTAGGGCAGGCCCTAGCTATCATCATGAAGGAACTGTCTAACGAGGAGGTACCCCCAGAGTTCCTTCAGGGCTTAGTGGATTCTAATGGGCCTAGTGGCTTGGCCAAAGTCATCAGCGATGTGAGTCGGCCACAATCGTCAGTTGGTCGCCAGCACTTGTCCTTTTTCAGCATCACATTTACACTGCACTGAGGTCTCATGCACTTGACTGGCTCACTGACTACCCTATCCTGGTCGAGAACCTCTCACAGTCGGACAAGCAATTCCTCTTGAGGCAGTCGGAAGTGCTGACCAACTTCTCTGTGGTCACCAGATTTTTCTCTTTGGTCCTCTCTGATCACTTCAATGGCGTTACTGTACCCCTGCAAGCCGTTGACAGTGCTCTGTGTCGACTCAAGCCTTCGAATGACCTCCTATCATTGGTGCATCTACTGCTATTACGAAGTCGTAAGGTCTCTGGTTGTGCTGAGCTGCCCAGCGAGGTCATATCACTGTTGTTGGTCTACGCCCAGAAAAGTGGTGGTTTGTGGTTGTCCTTGGTCATGGCTACTTGGCGATACCGGAAAGTGAATGCCGACCTCCTCTGGGGTGCCTGTCGCCACTACCATGAATATAGGTCTCGGTTTTCATCCAAGCAGGACACTATAGACGACGTTGCGGCTGGTCTGGTCACTTGCACTGATGAGGACGTCTTTAACGGGCTCTACCGGTGCCTTATGAAACTCACCGCAGGCGAACACACTCCTCCTCCTCCTCGAGAATGCTGGATTGGTGTTATGAATATGATCATCAACTCCACCGTGGCCCGCAAAGATTCATTTGTTGCTATTTCCCGGCTTATCGACGTGGACCACTGTTCTTGGTTGAAGGAGGCCATTCGGTCTCAGCCGTGCATCGAGCGAATCCTAGCTGATGACCTCAAGGCGATCGATCTCATCTACAAGGTCGGTCTGCGTGGACATGTGTTGGCGTATAACACTGAGGCTATCGTTCACGCCTATCAACAGCAGCATTGGCCTTTCCTACGTTCCCTCTTGAGGATTTACCCTAACCAAACGGTGTCCAAATTGACCCCCTTGAGGGTCCTCAAGAGGCCGATGGACCAGGAGTTCCGCGATGAGTTCTTGTTGGTGATGAAGGCACGTCCAGGGCTGTGGGACCCTTATTGTGGTTATGACTTCAACGACTATAGCACAGACAGTGAGTTGGAATTTAACGAGAGGAGTAGCAAGACGTATGAGTACTTTCCCCTCAACTGAGCAGTGGACTTTTGTCTACTGTCTCGGGTCGATAGCACGAACATTGATGCGATGTTATCTTTGATGATGACTGTTGATTTTTTAGTCGACGGTATGCTGAGTCTGAGGGTATATTCAAAGTCAGATGATGCTTAGTTACTCAACAAGATGGAGTGAATGCTGAGTGCTCACTCTCTTTAGTTGTCAACGACTTCAGTCGAATACGCCTAGACAATATTATTACACCTTGTGTATCGGGAGCTCTTCATCAGAGAATAGGGAGACGTGGGTTCAACGTAGCTCGGAGGAAAATTCATGAACATTTGTAACACGCATGAACAACAGTCAAATCGTGGTGATTCTAATGAGTGAGACATCTGGCAACCTGTGTTCGAGTCGGGCTAGGGCAGCATTTACATACCCATGCCTATAAACTTCGCCTCTCACAGAGAATCATATCAGAGCACCGCAACTATGTCCTCTGATATAATGCAAGATATTACGAGGCCGTGCGTTGATAGGATACTTCTTCGACATGTTTTGTTCTAGTATCAGCATTATCTAGTATTGCACACACATGTGCGTTAACATAAGAGCAGCATAAGCATCGCTAAATGGTATCGATCAGTATGGTCTCGTGATATGTACCCACATGCATTCACGTGTGTGTCAGCAGACGTAGGACTTCTGTGATTGTTCCGAAGTGATTCTAGTAGGACAAACTCTTGCCGACTTGTATTTTAGCCTATTATTCAAAGTGATTGCTAGTAAACACACAATGCTCATCATCTCTTTTACCTTCACTAAGATTCCTCTGAGACCTCACACATATAATGGACCCATATTTTGCAAGAAAACTTTTCTTGCCTAATTGCACGAAAAACCGTTTTCCGTACGGGCGTTGTAACTGTTTGAGTCATTAGGAGTTGTATGATTCAATATGAAGTCCCACGGGGTCTAGTTGTAGTCCATTTGGAATATCATAATCAGTTTGGATAGCCCTTGGTTCAGCACTGATAGCACGAGGGAACGACGATGAAGGTCGAGTGATGATGCTCCCCATACTAGCTGCGCTCTTTAGCCGTCCTGCTATGGCATCCGCATATTCATCGTCGCCATTGAGTGATAATGGAGGTCACCAGGAAGGGGAGAGGCGTTTGGTGGAAATTTGGGGAAAAGATACAGTGAAGGTAGCAGGATTTGAACCGGGGATCTATCGAATGGAATGCACGATAGATAACCTGTTGAGTTGTTGTGTAGGTGCGGAAGGCGGTTAATGACAGTACCCTTTCGGGGAAGGCGGCCAGTCGGGACATTGCAGTGGTGGCAGCGAGTGAGTTCAACAGGTAATTCAGACCAGTTGAGGAAGCTATGGTATGAGTCTTCTGAGCAGTTTGAGGGAAGGATCCACGATGACTGAGAAAGAACGAGAGCTCGCAAGACGCAGGCAGGCCCGAGAGGAGGTAGGGAATCTTAGGTTCACCAGTGTAGGATACGGAATAGGCCCGCTTGAGGCTCTTTTTTAGTATGGCGAGAGAATGCGCAAGTCGAAAGAGCGGAAGGATAAGATGGTCAAGATGGAAGAGGAGAGGAAGAGGAATGCGTTGAGGAGCACCAATGAGGTCAATGACAAAGCTGAACGGAATTCAGTAGGAGTACTACTCGCAAAGTGGAGTGTATATAAGAATTGTTTTTAATATAAGCAAACATAGAAACAGTAAGTATCAATGTATAGATATTATGAAATATATGGTATTGGAATCCGTATATTGAAATATGAAATATACCTGTTCATATTATGATCTATCAAAATATATTATAGACTAGATATATATTATTTATCCTTATATGAAATATTGATAATGCATAGGAGGGCTTTTCAGGTGTTGCAGCGGGCTAGGGATAAGCTGGATGAGGACATGGACGATGTGAAGCATATGAACCGAATGATGCTTTACTCGAAAGTGGCGACTATAAGGGATGCACAAGTCCAAGAGAAAAGGTAGGTGATGGAGAGTATGCTGGAGCCAGTGTTTGTTGTTGAAGATATATACATGCAGAGAGGGAGGAGGAAGAGCAACAGCTCGATGTAATGTCCGAGATAGAGAGGCTCAAGGCTCTGAAGATGTGATACTGATGTGGGGTGCGGGGTTCGAACCTGAGTCGTTTGAATGAAAGGTATGAAGAACGCAACAGAAAGCGAGCAGTGGATCAACGTCGTGGAGCTTCTGTGATTATCGAGCAAATTAAAGATCGTCAACAGAATCGACTGAGGGAGGTACTCATCGACTTCGGCTACCATCTTAGATGGCTCATCAGGAGGAACAGCGGGACCGAGAGAGAGGCTTTATATTAAGACAGATAGAGGCGTTGAAGGAAGAGGAGGTAGGAAGGTGGTGGTGGTGATGGGCTGATTTGGGTAAGTTTTGGTATCATAGATTGCACAGCAAATAGAGAAGAGAGTAGCTGCAGCGAGGTTGGTTGAAGAGGTCAATGCGGCTAATGCTGCAGCTCTGAAAAGTAGGAATTTTATGGCGCGGTGACGGTTAGGGAGTTTGGTTGTATTATAGTTAAAGAGGAACGCTTGATTGCGGAGAAGCTGGAGGAACAGAAGATAGTTGAGTATCAAAGGATGAAGGAACAGAAGGCTAAAGCAAGAGAGGAGCGCTTAGCTGTAGTATTCTCGTGTTGTTATAGCC